CACACACACACACACACACACACACACACACACACACACACACACACCCTTATGAACAAGTTACAACATTTGTGATTATTTCAAAAATTCACAATCCAAAATATAAAATATGCAGAGTAACAGGAAACCTAATATAGCGAACTCATTGTTGTAGCAATGTTCTGTTAATTTCTGTTAAGTCCACTTCTGAGAGGTTTTGCCGTTGGATTTCCTCATGCCACGCCCACTATTTTTAGATCAAAGGTATTAATAGCCGACGTGTGTACTTTCTGTTCTATTCTTTCAATCATATCATTAGAATGAAATGCATATTTACATGGAATCTGCTCACTAAGGCCTCCAACAAAAAGGAATTTTAAATAAAGGCAATATACAATTTAATACCATCGAATGTGTAAGAAATGTTCAGCTGATATTTAGTTAGACTTAAGTCCACCATTTTAAGAAACAAACAACTACTGTTACACAAAGAAGAAATACTTTAAGAACTTAAACTCATGATTACAAAATGAAACCACAGGAACTTTAGGTGTGTGTGGGTGTGTGTGCGTGGGTGTGTGTGTGTACCATTCTGGAGTGTTTCGACGTTTTCCCCTCTCAGTGCGAGCTTCTCAGTGACCGTGGACAGTTCCTGCTGTGAGGTCTGTAGAGATGTGGTCAGCTCTCCAACCTGACAACGAGCAAAGGCAAACGCTTTTCATTCCACAGCACATGCTTCCACACTCACACACAGTATGCAGCTGGCCCAGAGGGAGACTGGGCATCATTTGAGGAGGACCACATGTTGGCTGTTCTCTCTCAATCATAGTGAATGTTTGCCTACAGACCTGTGTTTGAAGCTCCTCCTTCTGTCGTCTGGTTTCTTCTAGAGCTTTGGCAATTTCCGTGCTCACTGTCTGCCGACTGTTCAGCTCCGCCTGAGGGAACCAAGACCAAGAGACAGGAGGACTAGACATACACTCTGCTTTCCATTACCAAACATACCTTTATTTGAGAGACCTCAATATTTACTGGAGGTTCTGTCAATTTTGGTTAATGTTCTGTGCAAAGTATAACAGTTGGCTCTGGAATAACTGTCAGTGAAGCTGTATCACGATATGTGAAGACTACAACTGGTTCAAATATGTACGGTAAGGTATGGAAGACCATAAGGGACATGTGTTATTTGACTAAAAAGGAAAATGCAATAATCCAATTTGTATTATAATTTTTACATACTCATATAGGCGTTCTACGACCGTATTAAAAACGAAAAAGCTGTTTTGTAGTTCGTAACCTGCTGTACAATGGACATGGACAATATTCAACTGTTAAAACTAATTTGAAAATTAAAATGCAGTATAAACAGTTTCCCCTAGCTTTCCTTTTGTACAGGCATTCTTTAAGCCACATTAAAAATTAAAATGCAATTTTCTTACCACTTGAAAACAGAAACGGCATTTGACGTTTCAGGGCACATGAAGAGAGGTCAATCAAATGTGAACATGTGCATTCAAACAACTCAGAAACGGTGTGCTGTAGTTGATCTTACCCTGTTCTGTTCCAGCTCTTCTGTCCGCTGGCTGAGAGAGGAGGTTACCTCGTCCCTCTGCTGATCCAGATCAGCCTAGAACACAAGAACAAGGGGAAGCATCATCGTAGAGCTTCAACACATATATTTATATGTACAGCGACATCTCTGTGTGTAAGAGCATGACCACTCCAGAGTGTTATAAATCAAACATGAGAAGCAGAAGGTACCATTCTGTCACGCAGCCTCTGTCTTTCTGTCTGTAGAGAGGTGATGCTTTCCTCCAGGCGGCTGGCCTTCTCCTGACTCTGCTGCTGTAACAAACACACCTGCTGATCCAGAGAGGCCTTCTCTGCACTCCACTCTGCTTGCTGAACAAAACACACACCAATGCAGAGTTAACCCTATGTTTACAAAGACCCACACTAACTCCACTTCAACCAGACTGAAATGAGTATGTTCATCTCAAAAAGGACATATTGTCAGGAGAGAAATATCAACATCAAGGTTTGCTTTGAATATTTTACTTCCTGGATCTGAACCACAATTCTTCAAAACCGACACCAACTGTGTTTAAGGATAAAAAAGTCATCATAATGTAAACCTGTAACGAATAGATACAATAAAAACATTATGGAGTGTACTGCAACAGTGTCATTCTCGATATTACCAATAGATGACACCAAAGTAAACTGTATTAAACTTTTGTTGAGTAATGACTTGTGTAAATTTGTAAATCAAATATGTATTTTTACACTGTACTTCTGTGCAGTAATTGATAGAGGAAAGTGCTTAAACTGCATCCATACTTCCCCCCCACATTCGATTGTTGGTGAGGCAAACTCTACTTGTGTACTTTCCCATTTCTGTCTCTTGCCTGTGGTGGTGCTCACCAGTTTATCCACATGCTGCTGCTCCTCTATGATCTGATGCTCTGCACTCTTCAGTCTCTCACCACTCTCTAGGACGTTCTGCTCCAAATCAGCGATCTGAAACAGAAAGTATCATCAGACATCCATTTATTAGGGATTAAGTTGAGGAACCAGACGTATTAGTATGTCATACATATTAGAAGTTAGCCCAGCCAGAATGCCCCGACCATTACCTAATGTTTCACTGTTGTCAGCTGTCATTAGTCAACAATAAGTTAATTAGGGGCACTTAACAATTTCAGCATCCGTTATTCTGTGTCTGATTGCTTACTTGTGTGTCTGTTCTTTCTTTGTAGGATCTGGAGGAGTCGTCTTTGTGTCGGAGAAGGGTCTGCAGCTCAGTGATGCTGCAGCTCATTCTGGATACCTAGATCAGACAAGAAACACACAGCTGACACACATCTCTAACCTTTGTTGAGACAGCACAATGAGTAAAGATTACAGCCGTTATCATCAACTTAAAAGGTAACTTTGGTATTGTTCAACCCTGAACCTATTTTTCCATATTTTTGTGTCTATGTGACTAAAGGGCACAACAATTCCTCTCTGTGTGTGTGTGTGTGTGTGTGTGTGTGTGTGTGTGTGTGTGTGTGTAGGAGCTCCACATCCGTATACTCTTGCTCAAATAAATACGGGATCTCATCCACGTTGTTGAACTCATCTAAATATTCAACCATGACATTGAAAATCTTTCAGATAACACAAAGCTATGCTTTCTGTACACCAACATCACAACCTCTGCCTGGCTGGCACTTGTGTTTCCAACGTTGTCTAAGACGTCCCCTCTCAAGATTTTAGCCTAGCCTTGGTTAGACACAATAACAAACAGGATCAAGTGAATAGTAAAGAAAAACATTCTATTTCTCTGTAGGGTTCTTTCAATAAAGTAGTCAGACACTTAAAATAACAATCTGAGCCCGTCAGTGGTAGAAACAAGTACTTTTAGTGAATTTAAATGAAGGCGTCTTGTCTCCATTAGTCAGTTAAACTCAAAATCATGGGAAGACAGGGTCCAGGCAGAAACGGAGAGAAGACACATATTGATAATCACGGGTTTGCAGACTTGGTGGCAATAGATTCAGGGCCTTTACGATAGGTCTGCGCTCAGTGAGCAGACGCTGCAGTTTACCTGAGTCTCCAGAGAGCTGACAGTATCAGCGTGGTTTGTCCGAACCTCCAGCAGCTCTGCTCTGCTCTCTTCCAGACTTTGCTCCAGGCTGGACATCTGAAGAGGCAATAACTGCACTGATTAATAGGTGATTGGTTTCTACATTATTCCCTAGAACAGGGACATAATCATAATGAAATATACTTAAGGTAAACTGAACATTACATCTATTAGTTTGAAAGCACAACATGATCAACTAAATGTATTAGAAACTTCTATAAAGAGATTTACAACTCTTTTAATAAAAAATGCGTTTAATTTATTTCATTTCATTGATAGATAATTGTCGAGAAATGGATAATTGGTCTCAAATAGCTTAAAAGACTGAATGTAGGACAGGTACTAATTTGGTATGTACATACTACTGTATACACATACATCTTATATACATTACAGAGTGGAAGGAATCTTTCAACGTCTGCCACATGAAAAAAGCTGGTAGGTTCCTGCATTGAGCCCTGCTCTAGATGTTCTTCACCTCATGGAGAAGCTCCTGTAGATGCTCATCCTGGCTCAGGTTCCCCCGGAGCCGTCTCTCCAGAGACGTCACTTTCTTCTGAAGGTCCAATAACAAGCGCTCCTTGTCCACCTCTGTTACAGCAGCCTAATGATGTCAAGAGAAGACATGACATGGGCTTCCATCTTTTTTTAAAAGCTGAATTGTTAATATTGTGAGTCCAAAAGCCAAATGAGATATTTGAAATTAACTGTATTTCCTGTTTTCTCCACAAAAGAATGATGAGACTCTGAATTCCCTGCTTTGAATAATTCTCAATCTGAATTATTTGACGCTTGAGTTCCACAGAAACCTGACAAGATGTTAATTGCTTACTGAACAAACGCACACTATAATATTACAAATATCCTGTACTATGGCATATAGTAGAGTAGCAGAGTATAGTAGTCTATTTGTCCATGAGAATTCAAAAGTGAGAAAAAATATCATTCTCACAGCTGTTCATGATAGTCAATGCCGATCAGTTAAGAAATGCCTTGATCGGCCTACTGATACTGATCTTTGAGATCGGATCGTCCTCTTATATTTGAACTTGAAGTCACTCAAAGTGACAGCTTAACTTGTGCTGCTTCCTGACTCTCTCAGAGACAAGTAATTCACAATGTAGTGGTTAATTCTAGGCTGTTGTCAAAAAGTATGCATCAATTGCACCATACACACAGATGGAGAGTCTCTATTGGGTTCTGTTCTGACCTTTAGTTGCTGCAGCTTCAGGGTGTCGTGCTCGGTCTGTAATTCCTGGAGGGACTTCTCTAAAGTCGACACCGTACTCTGTGACTGAAACACAAACATTTCACAAACTCACTTGACTCACAGATAGCTGCCATGAAAAGTGATTCATGAAAGAATAGGGTTGATAACTTCAGTAGAGACGTAGCAGTAGCTTGTGTTGAGGACTGACCTTCTGGAAGTCTTCAGAGACCTGCTGGATGACTGACTGCAGCTCGTGGCATCGCCCCTCCAGCTCACTGATCTTCTGTTCGGCCTCCTCTCTGAGCAGCAGCAGTTCCTCTCTGTACAGATTCAGTGACACATAGTCTTCTGGTGTTCTCTCAAAAAAAACATAGTTCAAGAACAAATGGAAACCTGTCATTTCTAGAAAAGGGTGTGAATTGAACTTGAAAGTTAACAGGCTAATCGGCAATGTAACTGCTGGGGACAAAACAGATGTGTCTAGAAAACTACAACTATAGCACATCTGATTCAGAAACTTGACCAACAGACCAAAATAAATGTTTTGAAAAGAGCGTTCCTTCTTACCGCTCTATCTCCAGCTCAGAGTTGAGGCAGCAGCTCTCCTCGTGCTGCTGCTCCAGAGTCTGGAGTTTCCCTCGAGCCTCCAACAGCCCTTGCTTTGCCGAATGAACTTCAGCCTCCTTCTGCTGGAGCTCCAGATCCCGCTGGCTCAGCTGCTCCTCCTTCTTCAGCAGCTGATGAATGGGAAAGTTAATCGAACTCAAAGAACATACCATGCACTCAACTGCTATGAACCCAGGTGGAATCAAGTCACACCTGAACAAACTAAGTGCTTCTCAAACATTGGCCTATCCTGCCCGCGGCTCGCAGAACTCCAAAGCTTAGTTCTTTAAATGGCAGCAGATCCTTTCCACCTTCAATCTTCTATTTAATCACAAAATAACAAATGGATGGTCGAAAAACTGCGTAACAGTTTTTAACTAATGCTGCAAATCCAACCATCCAACTCCATATGTACGCACCATGTGTTTAACTTTAGCCAGCTCCTGCTGCTGAAAGCCCTCCAGTTCATCCACGTCATCCCTTTTCTGGAAGAGTGCTAAGCTTTGCTCCGTCATCTCCTCTACCCGGGCTGAGAGGGAAGCCTTCTCCTAAACAAACACAACAGTCATACCATGAACGTACACGTGCATTGGCCACGTTCAGGACATGAGCAGGCTGAGAGAAACCAAATTTAAGTGTGTTTTCACACAAAAATATGACAATGTGTCCCTTTAGCTTTGGTCACTTGTTTTACTTGGTTTAAATAGACGGAGTAGGACACAAGCAAAACACACTTAGAGAGTTTTACTCCTTTTCACCTTCTGACATGTCACGGAACGTCGCTGCAATCATATGGTGACATACGGGACGCCATGGTTGTCAGATGATCTTGCAGAAATATAGGTTATATGTCACTGTAACCTTGATCAGGAGATGGCTTTACAAACCTTTCACAATCAGTAGATTGCTGTTAAATTCATGCAAAGAATCACACACCTACTACCCCGATCTCTGAACCGAACAGCTATCTGTCTGAAGGCAGAGAACCACTGGATTGTTTTACAAATAGCCAGTTTACAAGCTGACTTTAAACCAACAAAAAGCAAAATCATCGACAGACGATGACTCGTGGGTTCCCAGATTAAATTTCGACCAATGCATTCAATCTCTTTTGCTCTACGCACAGACTGTTTACCTGCATTCAACCAAAGCCTGCTCCAATGTGATCAATACTACTCTGTCTACAAACGGAAACCAGAACTGCCAAAGAGCGCAGAATCTGTTTTGATTATGAATGAGGAATCTGTTCATAGATTACTACCCTTAAATCCTGTGGCTGGTCTGCTTTGCTTTCACACCACAACCAAACTGCACAAGTTTGACTGGATCCAGATGGAGACCCTTCTTTTCTTCTTTTCAGGGCATCTCAATCTGGTGGTTTAGTCTGCACCAGACTTCCATACAGTAAGTGCAAGTTCAACTGGGCCCCATCAACAGGTTAAGTGTGAGAGCACCCTATTTGAGTCTTGCACTGTTTTTGAACTCCTTGATCCTTTGCCACTGGACAAAAACTACCCACTAACATCTGGCTCTGGTCCCCAGTGGGAAAGGCACCATTGGGCATTAATTCCCAGGACAAATAAGTCTGCAGTAGTCACAAGTATTTATTGACTCCATGAAACCCTGGTAAATTTGCTAATTTTTGTCCCTTTTCTAGAGCGACGCTATGTGATGCGCGTTGGACAATTATCGTAATTCATTAACATACAAAACATACAATCATATGCTCTACTCAAAGCTACCAGACTCCAATCAGACAACAATAATTTTACCTCACTGGTCGTACTAAAACAAACTTGACAGAAACGAAACACAATTCATCACGTTAGTCCGACAATCAGCAGCTATGGTTTGAGAGCTTGAAACAGTGTCTGAGGTGTAAAAATTAAAAAAACATCTTCACTGTTTACTAACCCTGTTTTCCATCACGTTCACAAGATCGAAACGCGACACACCAGAAAAGAAACAGAAAATCATACTCGTCTACTGGCAATGGGACAGGAGTGTTTCAAGTATTTTTAGCAGGTTTTCACGTGTTTAAAAAAAATGCATATATGTGCTAATTTTGGTGGAAAAGGTTTGTTTTAGTTGTCGAAAACGGTCACATTTTCAGCTCTCCAATCTCACCATAAACAGCTTATTCTTTGGAAGTCACCAATGATATTTAAAGACTTACCTTCTCCACGTCGGTCATCTTGTCCATCCATTCCTGCAGGTAAAGGACCGAAAGAAGTAAGTGAACAAGCCACAAATCAGGACTGTACACTAGTGAGACGGAGCATTTACCTGATCCTTCTTTTCCAGTGCCAAAGTCATCCCCTCGGCCATTTTGGCTCTGCTGGCCTGGTGAGACTCGTTCTGGTCTTGAAGTTTCTTGATGGATGCTGAGCAGTGAAAGTGAGAAAGAAAAAAAGGGAAGATGGAAACCATACAGAGGTTTGTATGCAAGCAGAAATAATAAATAGCACAGACAGTGGCACCGTTAGTAGCTGTGAAAGGTTAAGAGTCAAATTAAGAAGTGTGTTCATCCCAAAAGCAAAGACAGGCAAAGACAAGCAATGCATGGCATCTAACAAGAACTGAAAAAACTGTTTCTCAAAGCTGCAATATCTGTGTGTGAACTGAGAAAGAAAATCCACCCTTCAGTCTACATCTCGTTGAAGCTGCAGTGTTCATTACAACTCACCATAGCTCAGTACCAGACAGAACCAACAACAAACTGAAGATTGGACTACTCTTGATACTGGAGAATACACCTTAATAATCAGTAGATTTACCATAAACTAAGCCCTTTAAGAGACTGTTGAGCCCAAATCAGAAATACATTTTGTTTCTCTTACCTGTAGTGCCATTTATCAATCTAGATTGCTTTGGTGTGAGTTGGCTAGTTTGGGAGATATCAGCCGTAGAGATGTCTGCCTTCTCCCCAATATAATGGCACTAGATGGCACTTGGCTTGTGATGCTCAAAGCGCCCAAAAATACATGTGAAAAACTCAACAGCAATGTCTCCTTCAAGAAACCATGACCTGGTTAATCAAGATAATCCATTGACCTGGTTGTGAGCAGTTTTCTGTAGGAACTACAATCACAAATACATGATGGCAGATATATACGAGTTCCTCCACTAAGCCCAACAGACCAGAATGCAACACGGCTATAAGACATGTGGCTGCAATCATTGTCTTAATGTCCACAACCATAGCTAGGGTAGCTAGTGAGCTATATTTCTATCATACAGTCTATGTTCCTGATACGCGTACGTCCACCTGGAAGCACCAGGCCAATCAAGTCTTCAGGAGCAGTGACCACGCATTGTAGGAAATCTACCTAAAGTAGTTTGTGGGCAAATTGAGAGAAAGTGAGGACACCAACAAAGCAACGGACAATGCATACATAACTCTGAATTCAATGTGCTGAAGAACTAGCAGTGTGAGAGATTGGAGGGTGGATTTCTAGATAGAAAGGAGGAAGCATTCAGCGCTCCCAAAGCATCTTCATGGGAGGAAGTGATGATACGCCAGGTGATGGTTATTACAGCGGACAGACACATGTGAGAAAGGAAGCTAATTGGGAGGAGAGTAAAGGTACGTACAATCCTGATGCTTTTCTAATGCAATTTCAAGCTTCTCCTGGATCTTCTGCATAATTCGCAGCTGCTCAGCGTAGTCTAGTGTTGGGAAGTAGGGTGATGGGATGGGGTATCAACAGTACACACACACACACACACACACACACACCAACGCACAACCACACACACAAAACACAAGACAAAGGAGGAACCGTCAGATGACGGTGAAGAGAGGAGGCAGGACAGAAAGTGAACAAAAGGAAAGGGAGAAAGCAAAAGGGAAAACATGATTGAGAAATAATGGAAGGTAAAACTATTAATGATTTTCTTATCTGAGAAAACCATACTGGTTAAAAAGGCTGCATGAGAATGTGCGACCTTTAACCTTTTCTAAGGGTGAAAAGCCACATGAGACACCCAAAGGAAGGAGGGGCTATTACACTAGTAGAAGAGGAAAAAACAGGATCGTGTCCCATTGAAAATATGTCACCAGGCAAAGATTTAAACAGAAATAAATAATCATGTTCACTGTGAGACAACGTTTTATTGGAAATTGACTCATTTAAGATTAGAATCTGGATCTCTGACAAAAGACACAGTATGTTAACAAACTGAGGAGTGTGAAGTGTAAAGTGTTTGTAGTCAGGCAAAGGTCAAATCACTGAAGATCAACTTCTTAATGACAGCAGGACTGATTCAAAGTCATTTGCTGTAGACAACAGGTCTCTCTCATAGACAAGAGGCAATCAAGTTTCACTACCAAGACCACTGTTTTATCCAATATTGTGCCTGTTATGAGTGCAATGTAGGGCTGGTGCAATACATTGATGAATTCATAAATTACCAAAATACGACAATATGCATAACGTGCGGTGGAGCGTTTCAAGAATGGCTGTGCCCGGTGGAAACAAGGATTCTACCGGAGAACAAGCTGCAGCTAAAAAACCTCGGCGGTGATCCTTTTAAGTGTGGAGGTGTTCTCGACAGAGACCCAACAATGCGGTGCTCTGCAAACTCTACAAATAGGAAATGGCTTCTCACAGCAGTAAAACTGCTATGCATGAACATTTCCCAAAGTGACAGCAGCAGCAGCAAGACAGCACAGTTTTCTATTTTCTGTTTACTTTAATGCACATGTATGAGTGAGGAAAGGGCTTTAACTAACGTTACAGCCTGTTGTTACAGCCTGTAAACAACGCCCCCACACTAATGCAAACATGCCCTAGTGCCATGTTTGTCTCGATGGGTGCTTCACGATGTGATCAATGGTCCGGTAGTTATAAACTTAAGTGCTTTCATTTATTGTGGGAGTGACAGAGAAAAGAGGCATACAAAGTAAAATTGATAGTTTTTAGAAAATAAGGCAGATTGTGAGCTTGGAGGTCACAGATGCCTCAAAAGGCACAGGGCTGTTAACTGATCATTTATTACATCATGTGCAGGTCAAATAAATCAGTGGATATATTTATCAATGCTGCAATGGCATTTTTGATTAATGCTTCAGCCTTGGTGAATCAGAATTGGCCGTTTGATTTTCATTGTGATATTTCATCCTCCAACAGTTATGATAGGATATATTGCTAACAGGTACAAGTTACACTTGGCTCACATTTCTCTGAGAGCTACAGCTGCTTAACCTCAGTCTGACAGTCCTACCTGAGAGCTTGGCCTCCAGCTTCCGGATCTGATCATTCCTTCTGAGAAGCTGGGCGGGCAGGTCGTCTCTGGAGCTGCTGCCGTCAGATGCCTAACACACACACACACACACACACACACACACACACACACACACACACA